TTAATTTAAGAAATTTTTACTTATTTCTAGATCATTTTTGCAGTGTGTAAGACGCTGATCTGATCTGAGCTACAAACCAGGAGCAGCTGGAACCTGAGCAGAAGCTTCACAGCCGTCCAATCCAGAGCGTTCAACCTGTCCAGCCGCTTCATCTGCCTTCAGTGGAAAGTTACGCAGAAGAAAGGATGAAGGCATTTCCAGAGCTTAGCCCAGTCATGTCACAGCTGGCTGAAACGTCACACCTTTGGGTGCCACTCTCACTCATCTTAAACCTTTGATTCACCTCAAAACAACCACTTTCATAAAGATCTACTGTTATTCTGGTAGAAACAGGGAGATGGATCCATTTAGAAAAATATGGGGAGCAGTTAAAAAAAAAAAACAGCCAACAAGCTTCCCTGATTTTACAGTTTTTGGTCAAAGGAAACAGTTTGATCCTTTAAAAAGAAAAGATCCAAACATTTATGATTTAAAGCTTCATCTTCCAGGTTTATGGGAATATTTACTGGAAATGACTCAGTAATCAACTGCAGCGTCTTCTTCTGATGGAGGTAAAATGACAAAGTTATATTAAAGGTGAGCTTACCTCTTCCTCCATTTTCCTGAGGGATAACTCCTCTCCATTCATCCTTTGCTCCACGGCGTTCTGAGCTGCTGGAACACAGAAACCTCCGGATTAAAACCAACAGGTCTAGCGACTCTCCTTGTTTCAGCAACATTTACTGGCTCCGCCCACCTCCTTCAGTCATGCAGGAAAAGGAAGGATCCCAGTAGAAGGCTGCTGCTGCTGCTTCATTCAGCTATAATGGCCTCTACAGTTCTATTCAGTTTATTTCTATAGCGTCAATTCACATCATGTCATCTCAGGTCACTTTATAGATCCAGATCATCCAGATCATCCAGTCAGATTGGTTCAAAGTTTTCTATCTAAGGAAAACCAGCTGATTGCATCGACTCATTGACTCTTCAGCAATCCCTCACACTAAGCATGCTTGTAGCGACAGTGGAGAGGAAAACCCCCCTTATAACAGGAAGAAACCAGGAAGAAACCACAGCAGAACCAGGCCC